CTGCAGGGAGCCCTCAACAGATATACTATGTGCAAGGGGGTACAGCTGGTTGGGGATAACTTTAGGGAAACCTCGACGATGGCTGTTGGAATGTGTACAGGGGCAGGACTCAGTCCAAACAATTTTCACCAGTCTGCTCAGAGCTAGGAAGTTGGCTGCAGTTCTGGCACCAGGCTTATCCTGCCCAACTTCAAAATGGCCCCCAGCTAATTGCCCACTCCCGTGGAAGAAATGAGTCCCACACACTCACTGCCAGCCAGTGCAGTTCTCTGCTCTGCTTCTCCCCTGTACCACAGTGTCTCCTCGCAGAGGCCATCGGGCTTGCCAGCCACCAACTTCACTGTGACTGTGTGTTCCCAGGTTTCATCAGTTTTTCTCACATGGTGGTTCTGGCTCTGGCTGAAAGTGTCACCAGCTACCACCTTCTTTTGTTTTTCATTTTTTAAATTCTCTCTGTAGGTTTCATTTCTTTCTTTAGTTTCTTCCTGGGTTGAGGGGATCCATTTCCTTTCTTCTTGTCTTCTTCAGTGTGCTACACTCCAGCATCTGTACTATTTCTCTCAGAAGCTCTTTACTCTGCTGCTTACTGTTCTGCCATCTTCAAGCTCCCTCCTCTATGCCTCTGTCTCAAAAAATTTTTAAAAAGATTTTTAAAAAAGGGTTAGAGATATAGCTCAGTGTGAAGGTCCTGAGTTTAATCCACACTGTGGGGGTGAAGAAGATGCTCTGGAATTAGGGGTGGTGCCTGTATAACATTATGAACCCATTAAGCAAGCCCAGCCTGGGAACCAGCGCCATGTGTGGGCCACCACAGGACTGGAACAGACAGACTCCAGTTTCTTCCTGTAAGTCAGTACCATTTGTGGACTGGGGGTCGAGAGAACAAGGCCACACCAGCAATCGAGCGCAGTATGGGAACCAGTGCCATGTGCAGGCCACTGCTGGACTGGGACAGACTCAGTCCCTTCTGGCGTGGGCTGGCAAATGAGAGATACCAACCCCCATCCCCATCATAACTGACAGGCTTATCCAAAGAAACACAGGTTGTGATGATACCTGTGGAGGTGAAAAACAATTGGATGCCTGTGGTGCGCTGGTGTTCCACTAACATTGCAGGTCTAGGGCCAGTGGCCTGATGATAGGTTCAGAAGATAGCAGTACACAGGGGGATATCCTTCCGAGGGCTGTAGCCATTGTTGATTCCATATGGTCTTGATTTGGAAGTCCTATATTGTTTCCATTGTTTTGCTGGGTTGTTTTATTCCCTTTTGTTTTGTTATATCAATTTCAAAGGCAGCAGCAGTTATTTCAAAGACAGCAAGATATATTATGGTAGCAATTTTGGATTTACTGTTGGCTTGTTTTGAAGTCCTTTATTGCATTCATTGTTTTGTTTTTATTGTTTTTATTCTGTTCCATTTGATTTTTACTGTCTGAAGTTATCTGCAGCTATTTGAAGATGTCAAAAGGCTTTATGGTGACTATTGTTGATTTTGTAATTTTTTGAAGTCCTGTAGCTAATACACTGACTTTTTTTTTTTTGGTCTTTTTCATTTTTATCGGTACCAGGGATCGAACTCACGACCGCCTGCTTGCAAGGCAGGTGCTTATGCCGCTGAGCTAAACCTCCAGCCCTTAATACACTGACTTTTTTGATTGGTTTTATTCTGTTTTATCCTCCTTAAAATTAAATAAAATTAAATAAAACCCAGTAAGCTGTGCACTTTACAGGTGGTGTACCTTGTATTACATGAATTATACCTCAATTTTAGAAAAAAGACAGATATTTGAACTGGACCAAAGGAGGCAGTGATGAACAGACAATAGTAGAAGAGATTTCTAGGCAGAAAAAATAGAATAAGGAAAGGCATGGAAGCCACACACACTAAATGAATAAATAAATAAAAGCAATGCACATTCAGGGAAGTAAAAATGGTTGGAGTGCAGGTTACACACACAGGAGAGGTAAAGACTAAGCGAGCAGGCAATGAAAGCCTGTATCCCAACTAAGGGGTCATGGGGTACTTTGGTTTTCTCCTAGGAGAATGACATGACCACAGCACCCAATTCATTCATCTTGCCAAGAAAGTCTTCTTCCATCCACTTAGAATCATCCACCACCTCTATTCCATTTTGACGTCCCAACCCTCAATTTGTACACTATTTATAAAACACATGTATTTGTACCATTGGTTATCCTGAGTTTTCCCCTCAACAGAATATAAACTCCTTGAGGGCAATCTTGTTTCTAATCTTGACTATATCTGTCCAAGACAGAGTATTGTATGGAACCATAAGGCATTTAATAAGATTGACAATATTGACAAATTTTTGAGCTTTTCAAACTTCACAAACTATGCTAGCATTGTTATCCCTTTGGAACATTTTTCTAATCACAATCATTCAAAACTTTGCCTCTTCTCTTTCAAAGCCACCTGCTTACAAAGGCTTTTCCTGATTGTTCTACCCGATATAAATTGTCCCTTTTAAAATTCTGTATTTTTCTTATGATACTGATTTCTTCAGGCTTCTATTACAGTTATATGAGCATTCCTCTCACCTTATATATCTCTTATCCCTCAACTATTAGAATCTAAGCACCCTGGGACATTGTTTATGCTTTTCCTGACCTTACAGCTTCCAGCACTGTGTTGGATAGAGTGTAACTTGAACTGTTCAACTAGTAGCAAAAATGACAGAATTAGAAACAGATATAATCACTATTACAAAAGGTTTTTCTTTTTTTTTTTGTACCAGGAATCAAACTCACAACCTTGTGCTTGCCAAGTAGGCGCTTATGCTGCTGAGTTAAATCCTCAGCCCCTACAAGTTTTTTAATCCTAGGAAAAAACTACATGAAGCAGGATGCAGGCACAAATAACAGAGGGCATGTGTTGAATCAATCTGTGACCACTTGGCATGTTTATTTTCATCACATGGATTACATTTTGCTAAACTGCAGAAGACTCAGACAAAAAGTAATGGCCTTGCAGCTGCTATGTTCCCAAGTTTGTGGTTTTCTTGTGAAATAAACAAAAGATGCTGGAGGTATGATCTCTGTTAATCTTTTTTAGTGTGTGGGTCTGGGGGAGAAACGGGTGGTGGGCTACCAGGGGTACTAGAGGGAAATCTACCTATTGAACTGACAGTTCATATAAGCAACACCTGGAGTGTTAAACTCCCTCTAAATGTTATTTTACTGAAAGAAAAGAACTTTCAGTCTTCCCTCGGTTAAAGTGAAAATTCTTTCACCAGCTGCATTCCAGGCTGCAGTGTGTGGCAGCTCAGGAGCTATGGCAGCTGGAACAGATCACATTCAGGATGTAGTGAATGCTCATCAGCAGCAGAACCTACAAAGCGAATCCTCACAGCCATGTTCCTTTAAGAAAATGGATTAGCCTCAATCTGCCTGCTCAGAGTAGCTGCTTGTAAACACTGAAAATACCTAACAGCATCTGATTGATGATCATCTTTTCAAATAGACTTTGTGACATCAGCTATTTCCCATTTCCTATTTTACTCCTTAAAACCCTTAAGCAAAAGTTTTGGTTTTAGTTCTATTTTTGTTATTTATAATCTACTAACTGCAACCCAAGTTCAGTCCAGATGTCTGCTGACAGAGTCTGTGACACGGTCACCCTCTCAGAAGGAAAGAACTACACTTACTACATGGCTGGCACCAGGCTAGGCACTCTGCTTATGTTCTGCCCTCAGAGCTGTGGGAGGCAGACTGCTGTACTTCACACACAGGGGAAGCAACAGGTCCAGATAAGTTAATCTATTCCTCAGTACCCTCCTGGAGAAAACTGGAAGAGTTGGGTCTGTCTGGCTCCAAAGTCATGATTCTTTCCACTGTCTTCTGTGGCTAATGTGGCCCACAGAAATTTGTTCTCCAGAATTTTCAAGAATGCTATAAGAGCCCGTGACTCCAGAATTGGCACTGAAGAATTTTTTCTGTAAAGGCTCAGACAGTAAATATTTTGGTTTTAAGACCTCTGTGGTTTCTGTTACAATTACTCAGTTCTATGCTGGCAGTACAAAAACAGCCATCAACATTATATAAACAGACCTGGTTGTAGTCCAATAAATATTTATTTTTTTTTAAAAAAAGGTAGTGGGTCAAATCCTACAGGGTTGTAAAGTGGGCAGCTTCGTGTTACAGAATTTGGGCTCAAAAAGTCAATAAAGGATTGCCTATTTTCACCAGGCATGGTGGCACATGCCTGTAATTCCATCACTCAAGAGGCTGAGTCAGGAGAATTGCCACAAGTTTGAGGCCAATCTGGGCTACACAGTGAGTTCAAGGGCACCCCGAGCTACATAGTGAGACCTTGTCTCAAAAAATAAAAGAAAAAGTAAAGTAAAAGAATTGTCCATTTTCAACTAATCAACTGATAAGAGAATCTTCTATATTCAAGCTATATGAACGAGAAAGGATGTTGTACTGGTCCACATATTCTTTTGGGAGGAAAAGACGTAGACACATAAAAGTCAAAAATAGCAATATGGTGTGGTGCATGGTAAATGTCAAAGGAGAGAACTTACGACCCAAGGGCTGACTGATGGGTCACAAGAAAATCAGAAAACCTGAGTGTACAACTTGATCAAATAATCTTGTATTAGCATCAAAAATGAGAAAGAGTCATAAAACCTCTCAATGGGCAAGATGGAGAATGAGTCAGAAGTTACTGCTCTAAAAGGTAACAAAAATACCCATTCTGATGAGACCACATTACACTTTTAGCAAGTCAGATGCTAATCAAAGGTGACACCTCCTTTAGATTCACCAAACACAGTTATTCTGTCTCATTCTCAAAGGATAAGTAATGACATAAGGTGTAAGGTAAGTGGTGTACTTTAGGGAACTCCATGAGGTTATTTCATTCTCCTCTCAGCTGACACTTTAAGGACTGAAGAGCCTGAAAGAAGCTACCAGTAAGGACAAAACCATCTTGATCACTCTCAGGAGTTTAGGGAAAAGCCAGTTCCTAAAATCCTACCTTGCTCATGGCGGTCAGGGCAGGATCACAGGCTGCATCTAGGTCTTGAACCAACAACTGAATGCTGCTGGAGATGACACTGCAAGTCAAACAAAGTAGTGTGGACACTGCTTAAGAAAATGACCATTTGAATGACTCACTCAGTTCCTCCAATCTACCAGACACCTGTGTAGAATTCAGGTTCATCACGTCATCATAAAAGCTCAAGTTTGAATTAATGACAATAGAGGGGCAGTTGGTTCTTTTTTCATGCCTTGGTCTTACTTGGGCCTCTACCCTTTCAGGGCTGGCTCCAGGATCCCTCTTTAAGTTCTCCTTCAGAAGTACTTGTTTTATCCAATTGTTTAAAATCAAACAATAACGAAAAGGACAACAACAGCAAAGAGGTAAGAGGAGGAAATGAACTGAGAATTTTAATTTTTTTTTCAATAAATGGCTGAGTGACAGTTAAAAGTGGACTCATCCCCAACCTATTTAATGGTGGGCCACTCATACCATGGAGAGAAACAGTCCAAAAGCATTCCAAAAAGGCTTTATTGTTTGACAAAATCCACCCTTGGTCCCTCAAGTCTGTCTGTCTTTCACATATATACATCGCACACACACACACACACACACAGACATGTACACACTCTTGCCCTTTTGATGTTAAAAGCCTACCAAGTATATTTTATATTCATCCCTGCTTTTTTTTTTTTTTTTTGTACCAGGAATGAATCTTAGGACCTTATATTCTAAAGCACAGGAGGTAGCCTGGCTTTTTGCAGGTTTAGGTGGGGGCAGATGAGAGGCCTGAAACTAGACTTTCTTGCAGAATGACCAAGGGAATATTTCTTTTCTCTGTTATCCCAGATCAGGTCACTATAAGATGCCCTCCCTGCATCTGTGAACTAAGAGAATGATTGCATCTGAGGAGGCAGCACAGGAGGCAGCTGCTAATTTTGATGCTTGTTCTCTGTGGCTAGTGGAGAATAATCCCACTAACAGAAGGCCCTGGAAACCCCTTAGATTGTGTAGCAACTAAAGCCAACAGCCTGATACGTGCCACTCCATGAAGGAGAAAAGACCCTTGAGCAGCCATGAGCAAGGTACGTACGTGCTGAAGGTATCCATTTCTACCATGAGGTTGATTCGCTCTGTCAGACTTACATCTACTTTCTCTTTGAGTTTTTCTTCTAGCTGTTAAAAACAGAGAAACAAAAATATGTTTAGTAATTATCCAAAGGATCATCATATTAACAACAGGTAGAATTCAGGCATTTTTCATGTAATTCTACGACCCTATGACTCCTATCCTTATTTTACAAATGAAAAACTGGAACATCCTACCCAGCAGTGTTGAAGCTTTAGAGACCGAGTGCCCAAACTGCAACCCAAAACCCATTTATTTATTGCAAAGTGCCAATACGTAACTGAATTTGAATAGTGAAGTTTTAGTTAAAAAAAAAAACCAAACTGTTATATGATGCTCAGGAGCCGGGGTGACTCGGCTCACTGCCTCCAGACAGGTTTGCCACCACTGACCCAGGGTCGCAAAGGAAAATACAACTGAGCAAGAATTGTAAATACCTGAAAATGCCCCCAGGAAATGATTAATGTAATCTAGCACTCCTAAATCTCAGACTTACATTAAGAGTTTTGTGTTAAATTCTGAAATGTTTTTAGAGACGTAAATTAGTATAATCTTTCTGGAAAGTATTTTATTGTAAAAGCAAAACTTTAAACTTTTTAATCTAGCAATTTCATATTTAGAAATTTTCAATGAGATAATGAGAATAATGTACAGAGATACCCAAGTATTTTTTGTACCATTTGTTAATTCAACCAGTGTTTACTGAAAGCCTATTCTGTGTCAGGTAGTAACAGAGTAAGGAGATTATTTAGCAAACAGAGCAGGTAAGATCCTGTTTTCATATAATTCACATCCAAGCATTCCTTTACATTACTGAAACCCTGGAAATAATCTACATGTACATCTACAAAGGACTGATGAAACAAATTATGGCATGGGCCCTCATGTTTAATGACGTCAATGGCCTTTCTGGGTACAGAAATTCCACATTATTGCCCATGACTTGGCCTGTCCGGCTCTCTGGTCCTTATGTGTGAGGCTTCAGGTACACAGGTCTGAACCGCAGGACACAACAGGGTCTTTCTCCCCAGGATCTTCACGTTCTACGCTTGTACCTTCTTCCCCTGAAACACTCCCTGCTCACCCCTCCTCGCCATCTTCCTAACCCGCCAAGCCCCTCACTCATCCTCTCCTCAGCCCACATCCCTGCTTCAACACCACCTCCCCGGAGAGGCCCCTCCACCAGGCAGCTTCCTTACTCGCGCATTCCAGCACTTGTTTTTTTCCTAACTCTTACCGTGAAGCAGAAGTTAAATCTTGGCTCACTTGTTATTATCTGCCTCTCCCATTAGTTCTAAGTTTCCTGACAGAAAGAAACTTATTATGTTAACCACTGTTAATTAACACCAGATGGAGTGACTAGTACATAGTAAGTGCTTAATAAAGGTCTTTTGAAGGAATGAAAGAACGAAGGGGACATCTTATTCAGGTGTTAAAAAGGTTGAGGACATGGAAAGATGTCTATGATTTCGTTTTTTTATAAAGTTATTTTTTTATAGAATAAAATGTAGAGTATGGGTCCATTTTTATTAAAAAATACAACAAAATGTTTAGGAGAATAATATATATTAGTTAAATAGATAACTGTGGTTGTTCTGATGGATGAGATTATGGGAAAATTTCATCATATATTTTTATAAAATTTGAAACATTTTAGGAGTGCATATTCCATTAAATATCTATTTAGTTGAGAAAATTCCAAATATTTTAAAAATCTACAACAGTACAGCCAACATACCAAATGCCTAATGGCCAGCATTACCGACCGTTACTATATGACCAGCCTTGTGCCATATATACTTCCTCTCATTTCTCTAGCTCCTGAATTATTCTGAAGCAAATCCCAGTCATTCTATCATTCCATCTGTAAATATTTCAGTATATAGCTCTAAAAGATAAGGACTCATACAGACAAAATTAATAATTCCCTTAATATCAACACTACATATCTACTTGGTGTGCACATTTCCCTCAACTCCACACAATTTTAAAACAGTTTGAATCAGGACTCAAACAAGGACCATATGTGGCAACTGACTGACATGTCTCTTGTCTCGTTAAAAAGTGAAATATGACCAACTTATACAAATGCACGTTATCTGTAGTGTCTCAGCTGGATAAGTTTTGACAATCATATACCTTGCTGTGATAACCAATAACAGGGTACAGAACATTCCCTAAAAAAGCTTTTTATGTTTCTTTCCCTCTTTCTCATTAAACCTCCAGCCTGCATTGCCTCATTTATTAGTTTTGCCTATGTTTGAATACATTTGAATAAGAACATGTACTTTAAAAAAAAGGCCAGACACTAATCATCTTTTCATGTTTGGTTTCTTTCATCTAACATGTTTTTTGAGATTCACCCACAGTGTTAGGTATATCGGTAGTTTACCCATTTTACTGCCAACTAATAGACATTGTATGGCTATTCCATGACTGATTTATCCATTTTCCTGTTCAAGGGCATTGGGTTGCTTCCATTTTGAGCTATTACAAACAGAGCTACTATAAACTCCGTGTCTGTATCTTTTTTGTGCTTATACTGTATTTTCATTTATCTTGGGTAAACACCTGCGAATGGAATTGCTGGTCATGTTTTATAAAAACTGCTAAACTGCTTCTCAAAACGGCTAGAACACTTCACATCCTAACATATGCACATTCAAGCTTTTCCACGTATTGGCCAATATCTGACTCTGCCATTTTACTTACTTGTTAGGCATTCTGATAGCTATGTCCCAGTTCTACTTCTAATTTGCATTCTCTAGTAACTAATGATGCTGAGGGCCTCTTCCTTTACCTTTCAGGCTCTTATTTTTAGGGGGTGCAGTACTGGGGATTGAACCCAAGGTCTTTGCAGGGAGCTACATCTCCAGCCCTCAGCCTCTCAAACAGTGCTGGGATTAAACTCATGCAACACCACACCTAGCTGGATAGTTGTGTATTATCTCCTTTTGTGAAAACCGTATTCATGTTTTTTGCTTATTTTAAACTGGGTTATTTGGCTTTTATTGATAATTATCAAGAGTTTCTGATGTACACTGGATACAGCCCCTTATTTATGATAGATATTTTGATGAGCAGAAAATTAAATTTTGATGAACATAAAATTATCCAAGTTTTTTCATCTTTGGTAGTTAACAATTTTTTTTTTAATATATCTTGACCAAAGAATCCTTGCTTCCTCAAAGTTATAAAGATTTTTCTTTTTGTTTTTCTTCTAGAAGCGTTACGACTCTGGCTTTTATATTTGTCTCTGATCCATCCTGAATTGATTTTTGTATATGGTGTGAGATAGAGATTAAGACTGTTTTCCATAGTTAAAATCAGTTGTTATAGTCATGACAATTACAAACATTTTCCTTTTTCCATTTATGTATTTATTTATGTATTTGGTATCAGGGATTGAACTCATGACCTCACACTTGCTAGGTAGGTGCTTGTGTTCCTAAGCTATACCCCTGGCCCTTCCTTTCTCTATTTAATAGATTAGCTCCTTTGTACTAAAATCAAGTAATTATATACACATACTCATCCCTGTGGTAAATCTTAAAATCAAGTAATACAACATCTATTTTTTTTTTCAAGACCGTGTTTCTTTGTAATTTTTTTCTTGCCCATTTCTTCAAAATAGCCTGTTACGATTTTGATAGGAGATTGTGACAAATCTATACATCATTTTTTAGGGAATGGGTGTCTTAATAACAAAGTCTTCCAATTCTTGAACATGAAATCTTTTCATTTACTTAAGTATTTAATTTTACTCAGCAACATTTTATAGTTTTCAAGTTAGAGGTCTTAAATGTTTTTCATCAAATTTACTTGTAAGTATCTGATGTTTTAAACTGGTACTGTGGATAGATTTTTAAAGATAAACTGCCTTTTAAAGGGTAGTTTTAGATTTATAGGACAAATGCAGATTGTTCAGAGTTCCCATATACCACATACCCAGTCTCCTACATTACTACCAGTAGTATGATACATTTGTTGTAACTGATAAACAACATCAACATGTTACTTGGTTTTACTGTTTTAAATTTTATTTTCCAATTCTTTGTTGCTTAGATTCGTCTTTATTTGCTTATTTTGTTGGATTTTTTTGTTTTTGTTTTTGCTTTTGCTTTTATTTTTTATCGGCCTTGCTATGTAGTCCAGGCCCTAAATGCACTATATAGTCTAGTTTGGCCTCGAACTGGCAGTAATTCTCCTGCCTCAGTCTCTCAAATGCTGGGATTACAGGTGTGGCCAACACACCTGGCTACTGTTGCGCAGATTCTTACATCTCTCTGGGCTTTTTTCTTTCCTTTTTTTTTATGGCACCAGGAACTGAACTCAGGGCCTTGCACTTGCCAGGCAGGTGCTGTGCCACTGCTGACTACATGCTAGCTCTCCCCTTATTTTTCCTTGCTCCTCTGTAATTCTTCCTTGAAGAAATTGGTTTGCTTGGCATACATATTTTTTTACGGCTAGGATTTTGCTGATTATATATCCACAAATACTAACATGCCTCTTTTATTTCCAATAAATTAACAGTTAGATATACTAGCTTGATAAATTCAGGTTCTTTTATTTTTCCAGAAAACTTCACTGTATATAATATTTATCAGGAGATCTGTATATAATATTTGACACATACTTTCTTTTTCCCCCATTTTTTTTTTTCCTGTTTTCTTTTTGTTTTCTGTCTTTTGGAAACAGGGTTTCATTATGCAATTCAGGTGGCCTTGAACTCACTCTGTGGCTCAGGTTGGCCTCAAACTTGCAGCAATCTTCCTACTTCAGCCTCCCAAGTACTGGAATTATAGGCATGAGCCCCCGTGCCCAGCTCCCACTGGTTTTGTTTTGGTTGTTTTATGGTGCTGTCATGCATACTAGCAAAGAGTTCTCCCACTGAGCTGTATCTGTCTGCTCTTTCTGTGATGTCTATAGCCAGTGATGCTCAATTCCTAGATCTATTATTCTTCCATTAGGGGAAATAAAGAATGGCACTTTAATTCATTCTTTCCTTTTTTTTTTTTTTTGGTACTGGGGTTCAAACTCATGACCTTGCACTTGCCAGGCAGGCACTTATGCTGCTGAGCTAAATCCCTGGACTTTCCTTCTTTTTTTACTAGCTGAATTTCTGTAAAAGAAGAGTTTAACTATCCATTATTTTGGTTATCCTATATATCAGATAGGAAATACAGGTTAAATGTATTAGTGGTTCCTTAACATCCTTAAAGGCAATAAACACATTTTTAAAAAAATCATTATACCGCATTATAAACCATCATTATACCCTAGGGAACCTGTTGGGAAACTGGATATCAATATATCCAATTACCAGTCCCTAAAGGGAATATCATGTAGCCATAAACAATAATGGAGAAATGTTAATGCTGCTATAGTAACAAAAAGTAAAGTGATATAAAAGTGAATTAAGACTATAACATACAAAACTATGTTTATGAAAAGACTGGAAGAAAGTAAGTTGTCAATATGATTATATGAGAGTGATGGGACTAAGATTGATTATATTTATTATTATTATTATTTTTTTGTCTTTTTTCCTTTTTATCAGTACCGGGGATCAAACTCACGACTGCCTGCTTGCAAGGCAGGTGCTTATGCCGCTGAGCTAAATCTCCAGACCCTATTATTACTTTTTGTATTATGGTTATTTTTCTCTTAGAATACTGTATTTATATGTGGGTGTGTCTTTCTTTCCTACACAGATACAAAATACTTAAAATAGTGAGTCTTCACTGAAGAACTCTGGGACTCCTGCCTTGAAAGTCCTTTCAGATGATGATGATGTCCTGCCTGGTGAATGCACATAGATAATGAATTGCTGCATCTAGTTCCACGGCCAAACCTTTCCAAGCCATTCTGTGTGTGTGTGTGTGTGTGTGTGTCTTTTTCCTTTTTATCGGTACCAGGGATCGAACTCACGACTGCCTGCTTGCAAGGCAGGCTCTTATGCTGCTGAGCTAAATTCCCAGCCCCAAGCCATTCTTTATTTAACTCAACACAACTATGTCTAACTGCGGAGTCTGTATGGGAACACACCCTATTAGGCCTCATGTGTCCAGGCTCTGGCTCACAGGAGCTCCAAGCTATAAGGTCTGAACTATCATTTATGACTATCAAGACATGTAAATAATAAACAGAGAGGTAAAGGAACAGAAGCTTCCCAAATTACTTGTTTCCCCTTAACCTTAGATGTTCACAGATCAAATCAGAAAAAGGACTTCTAATCCCATGTCCAAGGTTGAATGAAAAGTTTTCCTTCTGCTAAATCAGCTCACTGAACTTCTGGCATCTGAGGGCTGCAGTAGCGGGACACACTTTCCTGCTTCACTATTCCTGAACCCTGGCATCCCAAACAATGGTTATTTGTTTCGGCAGACTGAGAATGCTGTGCAGATTTCTAGAGACACATAAAGCTAACAGATTTTGGCTTAGTAACACTTTTGAGAATGGAATAACTGGTTGTGACTCATTACCACCAGCAGCTGGGTCCTAGAACCAAGTTTATTACTGTTTTTCTCATGTGGGAGGTAGGGATACTGACCTACTTTTAAGAGACCATGCCGGCTGACTGGCTTTCACACTCAGGAGGAAACCAGTCAGTCTCCTTTTAACAAAGCTGTTCTGTAAGATGGCTGCCTGGGCAATGTTCTAGCTGGACAGTGAGTTTTCCTCTGCGGGAGGTCTACTAGTCTGGCTAAAGCTGCGTATGGCTCTGCTAGGGCTCATACCCTTCCTTGTCCAGTGAGCTCAAGGAAAGGAGACGATGCATGTATCCAGGATGGCTCACCTGCTGGGTGGTGGCCAGACAGTACTCTGCTGTGCTAAGGATGCTGCAGATGAGGCAGAGCTCCTCAAGAGTGAACTTGGCCACTTCGGAGCCCTCCTTTTCCTTGAGGAGGCTGCTGATGGTTAATCCTCCACTGCTGGTGGTGGTTCTGAAGAAAAGGAACAGGAATTACTAGAGCAGAACTTTTAATTTGCTTCCTCAGCCAGAAACTACATTTTGTAAGACAAAGAAAAAAGGAAAGAAAGGCTGGCCAAGGCCCAAAGAAATCCACATACAATGAGTCCTCTTCCTCCTGACCTCACCTTGACTGTCATCTGTTTAGACTCTTTCCTCAACAGGAGCAGGAAGGGGCAACTCCAAGAGTAATCAAGCCTAACAACTACAATGATCAGAGACAGAGGAGACTGCTGAGCTGCCTCTTGCCTTGGCTTGGAATTCCTTGCTAGGCACAACTCATTTAGATTGTCAGTAGAACAAAACTTGATTACCCAACTGCTTCTCTCAGGTAAGAAAACCCTGTACCGGCATTTATTCACATTTGTGTTTGCAGAGGAGAAGGTACTATAACACACAATTTTTCCCTAAGGTCCTAATTGCCTCAAGTTACTCAGAAGCAGCCAGCTCGAATTCTTGACAAATACCATTTCTGTGGGGCAGTCTTCACCTACCGCTGAGCTTCCAAGCAGGCTCTAAGGCAGCGGCAACTACCCACTGATGTGTGGATGCTTCAGAATTTTCTTCTGGCTCTTTTCACCTTGTCCCTATTTCTGGGAACAGTGTCTCTACTAACAAAATCCCAGTATATCATTTGTTTTGTGCTGGGATACTGACTAATTTGGAACATGCTCACATGATAATAGTACACTTACTTTCACTAAAGCTGCAGTGTATAAAACTATCAGCAGTACATGCCTAGTTCTGTTCAATAAACAAAGCATACACACCACATATATTATAAATAATAATACCTAAATAATTAAATCAGGAAAAAATTTAAAATTTTAAGACAATTTCCATTATTATCAAAGTTCTCATTACTAAACCATATGTGACACTTAAAATCTTCCAAGGAGCATGGGCTGTATTCTCTCTCTTCTGAACAATGTAAAATTCCCGTATATGACACGTTTAATGACAATACAAAAACTAATTCTAAAATTGTTAATTTAGCCATTGGGATGATGTGTAAATAATAAATTCAAAAGTGTTACATTAGGTCATATTTTATTACAGTTGAAACTGCTATATAACCAAAACTCTTTAAAATGACTCAAAGGTCTACTTATTTTAAGTAATAAATAATGTAATAATCTACTTTGTCTCAGAATACAATGTAATTGTGGGCTTTGCAATGCAACCTCCTCTCTGCATATCCTACCATATCTCTAAAAATCAAACTCTGTCCAGTAAGTAAGGTATAGTAAGATACAGACACCACAAAAGAGACATTGGAATCCAAGACAGAGGGAAAATCACTCCAGATTATAATCACACTGAATGAAGCCTGAGTGAAACGACCTATACTACCTATAAACAGTTATTCCCATCATCTCACATTTTGCCAATTAGCTATTATTGAATCCATGTAAGTCACATACACACATTTACTGTATAATAGGACTGGCTCTCCAGAGTCTACTGTGGCAGCCAGGATGGGATTCTCTGCTAATGGTGTTGATCAGCTGTGCAATATCATTAGAGAGGAAACAGTGTCAGACTCAAAAAGAATGTTTTCCTCCTTGATATTCTTGGCAGTTCAGTAAACAACTTCAGAGTTGATTTCCTTAAAGATTCCCATATTTAGACTCTCACTGGACCATTCAAACAGTGAAGGATGGGACTTACTTGGGTAGGTTGCCAGAGAGGATTTTCCAGGCGTATTCTCGGAGGTACTTTTGGAAAATGGTGGTCAGCGCTATCATTGGCTCCCCAGTGCTGAGCTGTGAGCACTGCACCATGCACTTCTTGTAATAGACAAAGAGGTCGGCACAGCTCGGGAGCACAGCGCCCCCTTCATCCATGTTGGGCTTAGGTGGCCCCTGGGCTTTGAAATCAGCCACAAACCGATCTATCAGCTCTCCAAGGTTTCTAGGAGAAAGAAAACCTAAAGTGTTATTTCACTTCAAGAATTATAAAGCAAAATTTCCTATCTGCAATACACATAAGCTGCTGCCATAATGAATCATTCCCGATGCTGTTTAAACTTGAGTTGTTTTTATCAATATCATCATTTACCACCACCACCACCCCTGCACTAACAGCAGCAATGAAGTTTAGCATTTGTTTGCTGCTTCATATTTTCAGGGCCCTCCATGATCACATTTGACCCTAAGACCTTGTAAGGAATATGAGGCATTGTTAGCCTCTCTGGAAGACAAGAAAACTGAGACCTAGAAAGTTTGTCACAAAAGTTTGTGGCACAGCTGGGTTTGGGTCTACCATTCAGTTTAAGCATACTGTCCGATTACTATGCAGTACCGTTTCCTACATCTGAAACCCTAAACAATGCTGGCAGGGACTGTTTTCCAGGCATGTACGAGGTACTAGGTGTCATGGCAGTGCTCTTATAAGTGCTATCTCATTACTCCTCATAGTAACCTTATGAAGCAGGCATGGTTACTATTCTCTTCAGGAAGTTAAGTAAGCATCTTACCCAAAGTCATATTGTAAGAAAGGGGGAAGCCAGGACCTAGAGTAAGTAGCTTGGCTCCAACTATGGTGCTTTTAACCATTTTACTTCATAACAGCGTTTATAATGTCAGCAAAGATTTTAACATCAAGAACCTAAATATATCCAATGGACAGAGAAATTGCTTTTATAAAAAGCAAACAAATACCTCCTAAAACCTAATACTTTTCTTCCCTTCAATGCAGTTTACGTTTTTTCTCACAACTTCCAGCACTGAAGATATAACTAAGCTTTGGGAGAAGAGCAGGTAGGAGCAGTTGTGAGTCTGCCTCCCATTATGGAGGTGACGGTGTTATGATCTGTCTCCCACTTCCCACTCAAACATCCTTGAATTTGGCCTCATCATTCGAAGTCCTCACAAGACAGAGTCAAGCAAGGTTATAATTCATTTTCTCTGCATAGTCATGAAATGAAAAGACACCTCTCTCGACAGGTAGCACCTCTTTAAGGTACTGTCAAAGGCTACAGGAACCCAGCTGTGCTTTTAAAATATATTTATATAACATAACAGGAACAAAAAGACAAGAACCACACATAACATCAATTAGCAGGAATAGGAAAAAACTGACATTTTACTCAAGTGCTTTTGTTATTCAGAGTTATCCAAATGTGACCACTGTATCCTCAAAAGGCTGCAGAGGTCTTTGTGGTGATAGAGTGCAGGAAAAGACCTCGTTAGTTGGTCTTGGAAAGCCCTGTGGTCACCACCCCCAATCCTCACAATCTCTTTTGCCCCACTCTTCTCTGCCTTCCCGCTTCTCCTGCAGAGGTGCCCTCCCTCTAGCTGGGAAGCTCTTTGTGGGCCTCCTGCTCTGCCTGCTTCCCTGTCACTGGGCCTCTGACTAATACCTGTCTAGCCAGAGCTCTCACTCTACCTCTGCTCAGCTCAGGCCTTACTCACAGCTCCAAACATACCAGTCCTCTCTCAAATGGAATTTCTATTATCTGCCAACTACTCAACAAATGTGCTAATCTTCCTCCAGCCTGGGCCCCCGGTAGGTAATGTTAATCAACACTGGCCCTCTTCTTCCCTGTTGAAGGGTGTAATTTCAGAGTCCTTCTTGGGTTACCATCTTGGCCAGTCTCCTAGGCTAAAGCTGGTACAAAAAAATGAAAGCTGCCTGCTTTACATTGGTAGAATCATTTGCTTCATGTCTGCTACCACAAGCCCCTTAGCAGCAAGGAGAATGTTCATGCTTTCCTAGCCCGCAGCTCTCAGCCATACATGTCATGTTAATCTTCAAGTCGGGACTCAATGCATACTTTGCTTGTCAAACTTCACTTTTTGTTCCTAGGGGTTGGGAACGAAGCAATGGACAAATGGAGATGGAACAGAGCTGGCGCAGTGGGGTGATACGAAACAGATTTCACTTGAGTCTGATCAGAAGAGACTCTAATTTCCAAATCAACAGTGCCAACCAAAACAGGGGCCAGAGGTCTGAGTGATTCCTACTTTAATCATTCATCTATTCTGAATAGAAGCTGGATACTCATCTACTTCCTATTTTAGACCCACTCTGATAAGTAAGATTATTAATTATGATCACACAGTATCAAAAAATTCATCTTAAAAGATGCCAAAGATTTTCTACATTTTGAAGAATGTTCACCAGGTTACTGCTGACATTGTTCTCAAGTGTGGCTAAGAAGCCTGTCAAGGAAACATTCCCCAACCTGCTCTCTCCTGCTCTTCATATCAGTGTGCTTCGATGTCACATAAGATGTTAAAAAATAAGCGGTCTAAGTTTCACAAAATAGAGAATAAAAGTTCCCCCAGTGGATATGGGAGTTATTTTCTGAACAGATGATTCTATCCCACCAAATACTGATTGAGCACTTAATATGTGAAGTTGGAATGCTCTATGAGTTCAATTTAATGAGTTCAGTTTAAATAAAGAAAAAGGTTATCATTTATTTCAGCATCAAATACTGCCATGGATTTTGGCAAGACTTTCACAAAGGATTCCTAGAGAAAGTGATGTGTGCCATCATGACCTTCTGCATAGAGTAACAGCAGGTCTTTATATCCCAAAGCAAGTGTAATCAAGTAAGAGTTTAAAAAAGGACAAGTCCAGATCTAGGTGCTATAGGGTCGACAGCCTCTGCCATTAGGAACTTTCAGCTTATTTGAGAAGACAGGACCTATATGCTTACAACATTTAGATTTCAAGACAGCAACAAAGTGCTAATTTGGAAGCACAATTGTAGAAAGCAGCTGAAGCTGGAGACTGATCACACCAGTGGAGCAAGGCCAGCCCTGAGAACACGGAGAGCCCAAGTGAACCCAAAGCTGTTCCAGCTCTGAGAACAGAAGGGACCCAGGCCAGCCAGGCAAACCAATTGCTAGGCAGAGAGGCTGAAACTGACATCATCCTTCTGAGTATACAAATTTCCTTTCCTCCCATCAGGAGAGAGGGCTTCCCCTGATCCCAGCTTTGTGTTTATTTCTTCACCTTCTCACTGCCCTTCATGGTCCTCACCCCAGAAAGTTCGAGAGCCATGCAGGTTGCAGCACACAGTAATTGCAGGCAGTATTTTAGACAAAGAAAGTAACAGAGGAGGCTATAAAGAAACTTTTACAGAAGATTCTGATAAAGAAGACGTGTAGACTTCCGGAAGAACATGGTGGATAAACAGCAGCAGCTACGGAGGCTCTCTGAGATACCTCACTTAAAATCCAGGAATGGTGCAGTACGAGGAGTCCTAAGTAAGGGGAGATACATCCTGACGACCCACGAATGAACTAAGCTAAGAGAAACCAACTGGAAATCCAATCCTGGGGCTATAACAGGAACAGATAAAATCTCAGTGTGGAAGCTAGAACCCGAGCCACTGGAAGCCGCGGTTAGAATTTCCTGCTGCTGCTGCTGCGTCCAAATCTACAGGGCAGGGAGAGAGACGTGCGAAAGCTCTGAGAGCGGGAATCTGCAAACGGAGTTGAGAGCGGGACTAGCGGGGAGCCGTACATCGACTTGCAGTGAGTGAGTGGACGGAGACCCTTTCATAGAGTAGGAGGCTCCAGAAAAGGACATACCGGGACTGGGCAGACTTGCCAGAACAGGATGCTGCAGTGACATTAGTCGCATATTCCTCTCTCAAGTGGGATTGGTGGGGAGTGCCTGGCTTGGGTGTCACTGCTGACTAAGACCCAGTAGGCTAGTCCAAACCAGGTCCCAGCGCCTGGAGATGCACCCTAGCAGTGAAGCTTTTGGTAGGTTGACCTGGAGGGGTGGGCCCAGCAGAGGCTGCCCAGGTCTGTGTCTCCCTAGTACACTGCAGTGGGCGGGAACAGCTAGCCGGCGCAATTCAAACAAACCGTAACCGAAAAAGAGAAAAAAATTGGGCCTCCTACATTCGACTGTATGGAAGGAACAAAAAGTATGGGAAGAGGAAGCAACAAGAAAGGGTCCTCAGTCCCCAATCCTGAGAACACTGATCCAGGAAAGGAAAACACAAAGGAAGACATAAAACATGCAATATCAGACACAGCACCAATATACATAAAGCAGTATCTCCAGAGCCTCATAGATGGGTTTAAAAATGAAGTATTTAATGAAATAAAGCAAGATATAAGTAGAATAGTTAGAGAAATGCTAAGTACTGCCCAAGGGGGGGGGGAACAGATGGTGGAATGGAAGAACAGGAAAAAAAAAAAAGGGAGAAGTGTTTCATGGAGAAAATAGAGAAAACAGAATACGTGAAGCAGGTTCAAAGAGATTACCAGGAAACTAAAAACTCTATTGAAAGCTGGCATAACAGCTTGAAAGAAACTAAGGATAGATTTTCTGAATTGGAGGGCATATTTGTAATTTGAGAGTATGAAATGAAAACTTCTTAAAAATAACAAGAAAACAAACAGCAATAATACAAAGGCTAGAAGACAATAAGAGGATCTATAACTTAAGAATTAAGAACATAAAAAGAAGAAGTAGGGACACAAACAAATGGACTACAAAAGCTATTCACAGAAATAATCCAAGAGAATTTCCCTAATTTAGCAAAAGGTAAAGACACTCAGATGTATGAGGCATACAGGACCCCGGCCACCTACAACCCAAATAGAGCTACACCCATGCGTATAATAATCAAAATTCCAGAAGTCCAATATAAGAACAGAATACTAAAAGCTGTCAGAGACAAGAAACAGATCACTTACAAGGGAACACCCATCAGAATTACAGCAGACTTCTCGGCACAAACCATCAAATCACGAAGAGCATGGGGGGAAATAATTCAAGCTTTGAAAGATAACAACCTCCAACCAAGATTGATATATCCTGCACAACTGTCCCTAGAAATTGATGGAAAAACAAGGTGCTTCCAGGATAAAGAGGAACTAGGGGAATTTGCAACCACCAATTCAACTCTACAGAGAATAGTACAGGATATTCTAAAAAAA